ATGGTTGCTAGGTAACAGGACTTGTCTGTGAACGAGCCATCTAATTTCGTGGTTCTGCTGGGCCCCTGGGTCTGTCTTCCTGTGGTCTGAGTTGCAAGTCAGAGCATCCCACCCTTCCTTTGCTTCTGTTTCTCCTGCACGGATGTGTGCCAGTCTCATCAGGGTTCAGAATCCTGCTGGACACATCAGCGCAGAGCCAAGGAAGGCTGGGCCAAAACTAGGAGCAGCGCATCAGTGTGCAGAGCCCTTGACTACTGAGTGCTGCATCATGGAGGCCCACAGGCTGGGGTGTGTGCTGGGCACCCTGAGCCCTTGGGTGTGTTCTGCCAGGGGACAGCACAGCCTGTCCTGTTTCCAGCTCTGTCCTGAGCACCTGCACTGTCACATGGCATTTCCCATCAATGATAGGCTGGGTTGTATTCCCTCATACCACAGGCAGGAACCCTAGCCCCCACTGCTTCAGAATGTGACCTGTTAGAGAAAGGGTCTTTACATATATGATGCCGTTACAGTGGGGTACTAGTCTGACCCCGGGTCCTTGTGGGAAGAGGGAACCAGGATGGAGTGGTACACACAGTGTGACCACATGTGGACATGGGCAGAGATGGTATCCAAAGCCAAGGACAGAGGCCTCAGAAGGAACTAGAAGTGCTCACACCTTGACCTTCTAGACTCCAGAACTGAGAAACTTGCCCAGGCTGCCCGCCTGGAGTACTGTTTTGGTAACTTACCAAAATGACAGAGCATCCAGTGAGATGAGCAGTGACAGCTGAGACAAAATTGGCAGCAGTTCGGCCGGACCGCAGGGCTGTGATGGGGTGTCCTGCACTTAGCTTTCTGACCTGGTCTCTGAGGCTGTGGAAGTGTCTGGCGTCAGATATGGCAGTGTAGGCCTGCTGAAGATCTGGTCCAGGTCACCCACAGAGGTCCTGCAGGGCCCAGCACCACCAGGCCTTTGCTGTGTGTGGGATGCCACTGGCGAGGCCCTGACGCGCATGTGCTTACCTTACCATCTTGGAACTGGATCTTCCTGTAGCATCTCATGGCTTACTGCAGAAGCAGGTCGCATGAGGCAAATGTCACCCAGCTTAGAAGCTGTGTTGGGACTTGACCTTCCAAAGGCTCATTTCTTTGGGTCTTCTGAGCCTCACGAACTTTCAGAAGGTGTCCAGTCTTAAGCTGTAGCTGATCTGTATACATTCACTCATGCATTCCTTGTAGGTTTGGGTAAAACATATCGTAGAACTATTTTTTATGGCAGTGACATCTTTGGGTCATTAAAATATTATTGTTTTTATCATTGTTCTTGGGAGTATACTTAATAAATATTCTTTAGTCTCTTTTGCTGCTTGAATTTACTTGTCATTTAAAAATTATCTTCACAAAAATGTCATTCCAAATGTCAAAAATGAGGACACGGAAGCTGAGGTTAATTGGCGAGAACCAGAGTAAAGCTGGATTCTGGTTTTTCGTTTTGTTATGTTCTAGCACTTCAGGTACATTGAATTTTCTTTTTCTTTTTTTTTTGGGTCCAGTCATGGGGCCTGAACTCTGGGCCTGGGTGCTGTCCCTCAGCTCTTCAGCTCAAGGCTAGTGCTCTACCACTTGAGCCACAGCGCCACTTCTGGCTTTTTTCTTTTTGCTTATGTGGTGCTGAGGAATCGAACCCAGGGCCTCATGCATGCAAGGCAAGCGCTCTACCACTGAGCCACCTTCCCAGCCCCTACAGTGACTTTTTCTATTGGGTTCTCTTGTGGGATTTTTCTGTTAGATTCTCTGGTAGGATCTGCAGATGAAACGTCTGCTCGTGGGCTGCCAGGGCAGCCTACCAGGCACACCTCTCCAGATTCCTTCCCTCCTGATGGGAGGGACTTCATCCCCAGTGCCCCAGGCCCAGGGCCAGTGTGAAAATGTGTGTGCCTGTGCAGGTGAGTGTGCCTGTGTCTGTGTGCAGGTCCATGTGTGTGAACCTGTGCAGAGGGTGTGCCCATGTCTGTGTGCAGGTCCATGTTTGTGAACCTGTGCGGGGTGTGTGTGTGTGTGTGTGTGTGTGCTCGTGTCTGTGTGCAGGTCTGTGTGTACCTGTGCAGGTGGGTGTGCCTATGTATGTATGCAGGTCCATGTGTATGAACCTGTGCAAGTGGGTATGCCCGTGTCTGCGTGCATATCCGTGTGTGTGAACCTATGCAGGGGGTGTGCTGGTGTCTGTGTACAGGTCCATGTGTGTGCCTGTTAAGGTGTGTATGCTCATGCATGTGTGCAGATCTGTGTGTGTGCCTGTGTGGGGGTTGTGCCTGTGTGTGTGTGCAGGTCCGTGTGTGAACCTGTGCAGGTGGGTGTGCCCATGCACGTATGCTGGTCTGTGTGTGAACCTGTGCAGGTGGGTGTGCCTGTGCATGTTTGCAGGTCCATATGTGTACCTGTGCAGGGGGTGTGCCCATGCATGTATGCAGGTCAATGTGTGTACTTGTGCAGGAGGTGTGCTGGTGTGTGTGCAGATCTGTGTGTGTACCTGTGCAGGTAGGTGTGTTCATGCAGGCTTGGCATGCTTGCTTCTGTGTGTATTTGTGATGTGTGTGTATTTGTGCTTGTGCAGATATGTGTGTGCCTGTCCAGATGTGTGCATTCATGCAGGTGTGATTTATCCATCCATATAGGCGCATGAGTGCATCAGGTAAATCATGGTTGAGTGAGGTTCCCTGGTCCTAAAACAGGCCAGATATATTTGGCTGAAATGGTTTCCAGTTGTGCAATGTACCTTCCAGCCAGGTGTACCTCCAAACCCTTAGAGAGCCCACAAGGGTATAGTTTCATAGAACCCCTCTGGTTTGCAGCATGATGCTAAATGAGACCGTTTTATATTGCCCATTATAAACAAGCTTGGGGTTCTCATGGATTTGATCTGGGACACATCCTGTGGACAGAGTGTCTTCCCACCGTGACCCTCTGGGGTTAAATGCAGGACATGGTAGCTTGCAGAGGGGAGCAACCTACCTGGTCAGCCCAGGAGTGGTGGGGGAGGGCTGGGCAGAGTTGGTTTCAGCTGTGATTAAGGAGAGATGAGCCAGGGTTGGAGGTGGCTGTCCAGGTAGGGCTTGCTCTGCTCAGGGGGAGGTGGGTGACACCCTCCATGCAGGGCTGTAAGAACAGCTCTAGCCAAGGGTTGGGTGTTCCAGGAGATAAAAAGTAGCAAGCTGGTTTTGTTGAACCCTGGGGTGAAGTGTGGGGATAATTTTGAGGAGTTGTAGGTGGAGTGTGGGTGAGAGATTTGGGGATTCTGTGAGATACACAGTCCCTTCAGAGATGGAGGAGCAGAGAGCAGGGAAGGAGCCTGGGAGACCCCCAGGACCACCTCCTCTTCTCTGAGCTCATGCCAAAGCCCCCATGACACATAGCAGGTTGGTTTCAATGTCTGGGGGCAGAAATCTGGGTTCTAGATGCTCTGACCTTGCCCTGTGCTGTGAGAATCCTAAATCCATAAAGATAGGCACTGGACACCTGAGGTGGGCCTCCTGTGTGTGCCTGTTCCTTCTCTCCTGTCCTCCTGCTTGGTGGCTTGCTTGTCCTAGGCCCCAGCACATACTGCTTTCTTGCCTGGCTGTCTCTCCTGCAGTTCTAGGTGCTTCAAGGGTTGTTACTGGGTTGTCGGGGGAGAGGAAGGGTGGACAGAGCAGAGCAAAGCCTTTTGTTCTCTGGGAACATGGGGGCTGTACCTGGACTTGTGGGCCAGCAGAGCCAGGCTGGTGTGAAGGATTTGGAGGTAGAAAAATCAACAAAGGCACTTTTCCTCAGAGCTCCACATGGAGGGGTGTGTGAGAGAGGGTGGGGCAGAGCCCTGGCTCTGAGATATCCTGGAGTTAGAGATAAAATGGTGATGGTACTTTAGAGGAGGAAGGAGCTCCTGGAATCAAGTGGCATTTGAGGCTTTCATAACGTGGGCGCTGGTGGCCACCTGACATCAAAGCCTCAGTGGCTGCAGATAGGAGAGGTGGGCCAGAGCTATGTGTGGTGCCCTGGAGGGCTCTCCCTGGGGCCCCATCCTAGGGCCTGCCACGGTGATGCCTGCTCCCCCTCCTGCAGCCTGTTGTGGGAGGGGTCAGGGAGCAGAGAGCCAGCTGGGGCTGGCGTCAGCTGCAAACCAGCACCTGGCAGCTCCAGAAAGCGCTTTAAAAGAAAATCAAAGGAAGTCGTGTTTTCATTTGCGCAACTGGTAGGATGGCTTTGCCACCTTAGTAAGCCTCAAGCCAGCCTTTTGCTCTGGAAAGTTTATTTCATCTCCTGCTCCTTTCAAACCTCATTGCTGAATCGAGCAGACCCAGCGGGATTCAGTCTAGCTTCCTGTGCAGGTCAAGTGCAGCCCAGCACCCCTCAGGCTGCTCTTGCTACTAAAGGCCTGCGGCTCATTTAGTCCGATGGTGTCAAGATCAGCACCCACCTTGGAGCCCTTGGGGGCTGGCTATTGTAAAGCCTCTTCTAGTCACCTGCTTTTGAACTGGTGAGGCTGAAGTTTGTCTTCCTGGAGACTCTGCTTTCTCCTTTCCTCCCTCTCCCTTTCTCTCTCCCTCTTTCTCTTCTGTCCCTACTTCCTTTTCTCTCTCCTTCTGTCTATATCTTCTGTCCTTCCCTCCCTTCTTCCCTTCCTCCTCTTCTCTCCTTCCTTCCCTCCCTCCCCTCTCTTTCCCTCCCACCTTTTTCTCTCCTCTTTCTCTTTAACTCCTTCCTTCCCTCCCTCTCTTTTGCTCCTTCCCCCCTCTTTCTCTCTTCCCTCCCTCTCTCTTTTCCTCTTCCTTCTCTCTTTCCCTTCCTCCTTCCCTCCCTTCTTCCCTCCCTCTCTGATGTCAAGCTTGGTGACTCCAGCTTTTTCTGTCCACCTTTGCATTTGGGCCTAAAAGTGGAACAAAAGCCTGTGTGCTCAGGCCCTGTGTGGTATGTGGCACAGGTGTCTGGTATTAGGATTTTCACAACACCAGCATTGGTGTGAGCTGCACTGTGGTGTGTACCTTGCATAGTGATGCAGTCTGAAGAGGAGTTCCGTTTCTGCAGAATCCCCAAGGGTAAGGAGGGAATAGACTTACATCTCTGCAGGGGAGAAAAAGAGGGGCAAAACAGGCACATGGCTAGATTGTAGTGCCACGTGCTATTTGAGTCCTCCCACATGATTCCGTGAAGCACAGGAAACTGTCAAGATGCCGTCTTGGCCCCTTACCTGGAGTTGTAATGAAGCAGACTGTTGCCCCACCCACCTCCATGTACCAGGCACCTGTCTGTGGTGATGCTTTCCCTGGTGGCCCAGCCCATTTGTCAGTATGGACACACTGGCCCTGACCCTCAATGCAGTCCACCCCCATGAGCCAGCTGCTCCTAGTGTATTAGGAGCCCATCCCCCAGCCCTGCAGTTCCGAGCTGTGTAAGTGAGGGAGGCTCCTGGAAACAGATGGGGTAGAGTCTGAAAGTACACAGTGATCACACCTTGGCTCCTTTGGCATCCTCCCCATGTCTCCAGATGATGGGCCAGGGTGGGCACAGGAGAGAGCCAGCCGACAGGGGCCTGCAGGTGTGGTTGCCTGACTCCTGGCCTTCCAGTGTCCACCTCCTTGTCCTTGTCGCATGGCTTGATGTCCAAGGCTGTGAGCTCCTCTGCACACTCTCAACTCCTGAGAGCATACAGCAGCGCAGCTGCAGTGCATGCCTGGGGTAAAAGAAGGCTGGGTGCAGGTCCTTGTGAAGGAGCCAGACTGGCCAGGTATCAGCCTTGATCATACTCACCGGCTGCAGGCTGCCAGGCTTGGTGGAAAGTTCTCCCACATAGTTAAGTCCAGTGGAGTGGTCATCGGGGACCACGGCCTCCATGTGCACTCTCTGGCCTGGGATGAAGCCAGAACTCAGTATCCTTCCTTAGTGACCAGTCCCTGCTCCTGTTGTCTATTCCAGTATACCAGAGCTGCTCAGCCCTGAAAACATTACCCGCTGTCTGCGCTGCCTGGCTGGCAGTTGCCTTGTTGCATTAAAGATCCCATGGCCCGGGTGCCTCCCCCTCCCCTGGCCCTTGGCTTGTTAGGACTTCCAGAGTGAGTTCTCTTTCTTCAGTGAGTTCTCTTTCTGTCCATTCTGTGCTGTTCTATCCCTTTTCTGGGGCTGTGGCCCACCTAGCCTTTCCTAGTTATACCCTATAGGCCTCAGCTTCCCAACAGTCCTGACAAGCAGCAAATCCTGCTGAGAGCCCACCCTGGCCAAGCTAGGGGCCTCTGTCCTCTCCTCCCCCTCCTCTGCTAGCCAGCCATGAGGGCCTCCTTAAGACTTCCTTCTCCAGGCAGCCCATTTTGTCTTTATTCTAGTTCTTCTCTGACCCACACTGATTCCCACATAAGGAATTGAACCAGGGTCAGGAAAGAAAGGTGTCATCAGGAAAACCACATGTCCAGTTGGCTCTGAAATAGTGTAGTCAGGCCGTAGAGAGCAGGGTGGTCCACCCGCCCCACCCCTGCTCACCGCTTAGAAAGCTGAAAGCTTTCTGTAAAAGGCCTCTATGTTGCTGCCACTGATCTGCTAGACTGCGGGTTTATTAAAAAATAAAAAAGCACTTTTAGCCCATGCTCTAAAAACTCCAGTGTCTGAAAATAGAAGGTGATGGGAACTTGCCTTCCCTAGTGGGCTGGGGCCTCCTGCCGGCCCTGAGTGCAGGAGTGTGTCTTCGCTTAGAGTTGCTGGGTCAGAACCTTGAGCTTAGCCTTGTTTTTTCCCTCCCTCCCTTATTTCCTTCCTCCCTTCCTTCTTTCCTTCCTCCCTTCTTTCCTCCTTCCCTCCCTCCCTCTCTCCCCCCTCCTCTCTTTGTCTCTCTCTGTCTCTGTCTCTCTCTCTTTCTAAAAATCTCACTTTAAGGAGAAAAGGCTCAGGAGGGAGGTGAACGCATTCCTGCAGCTCTCTCTTCTTAAAAATCTCTCCCTGCTGTGGAACATGGTCCAATGTTGGGCACAGGGCTGTGTTTGAAACTGGGATGATATTTGTAAAATCTAAAAAGATAATATCTAAATATGTAGAGATTTCTTAAGAAGGAAAATGCTAGTCATCTCCTAGGAAAAACTAAGGAGGAACTGGAGAAGTTATGTAACTAAAATTAAAGGTCAGTAAGTAAGTGAGTTGTGGCAGCCATGCTGGTGATGGAGTTAGCTGGCTAACACCTGGTTGATGATGAAGCTGTTTCTCTTGTACTGGCTACGATTATGAGAGGGAGACTGTAAGATAGGTGCTGACGGTGCCCTGGCCTTGCTCGTCCTGCTGCTGTTCCTAGGATTCTTGGTCTCCAACCTTGTGCCCAGATCTTGTGCATTGGGAGAGAAGGGGAAAGCCTTCTCAAGATTCATTTCCATTTTTCCTAGCACCAAAAGCTGAGGGGCTGTCTCTTTAAACTATTGCTTAAAATTCTTCCTTGAAAAAACAAGGCAGTGTCTTGCCAGCCCCCACCACCATAGGAAAAAATCTTTGTAGTTACTAAGCATCTGCCTCTCAGCTCAAGGCTTGAGGCCCCACAGCCAGAAGCACTGTGAATCAGCAAACAAGAAGGCAAAATCCTCAAACACCCAAAATGTGAGCCTGAAATTTCACCCCAAGGCTGGGCATGAGTGTGTGCTAAGAGAAAAATATCTCTTTGTTCAGGTTCAGCTGCCTGGAAAAGAATAGGCAGCGGTTTCAGCTATCACCTTAGCTGAAAGCAGAGCTTAGTGACTGAAAGTGTGTTTACATACAGTCAGTCCTTCAGCCAGGGACTGGCTGTGGCTGGAGGGGGAGGTGAGCTGCGGCATCTGGACACCAGCAGCCCCAGGTCAGCGCAACCTTTCTGCAGACAGCTTTTTAGAGCAAAGGGTAAGCAGTAGGAGGAGGCTGGGAGCTGGGAAGGAGCTGATGATGCTTCATCAGGCTTTGGATGTATGGTTATGATATCCATTTCAGGAAATGAGGAAACGAGGCCAGGGACAGCCAGATCTTGTGGGAGAGGCAGGAGCCCTGGGGTCCTCCTCTGCCCCTACTACCTGTCTGACCTTGGACCAGAGTTGCTCTAAGCTTCTGTTTCTCTATCTGTAAGATAGAGAACTTATCTGTAAGATAGAGAGCTTATGGGGCTGCGGACGGGCACTGGTGGTGATGTCTGGTGCAGGAGCGACTTCAGCAGATCGAATCTGTTAGCAGAAGGATAAGATGCCAGAAGGTTGGCCCTGTGTTGCCAGGGTTGGATCTGAGCCTGGTGCCTGTGTTCTTATTACAGCATAGTCTCGGGGTACTGTGCTGTGCACAGCATAGTCTTGGGGTACCATGCTGTGCCGTGTGGCTGAGTCCACAGCCTCCAAAACCTCTGCCTTCGTCTTCCACTCAGACCCATGATCCAAAATGTGACTGCACATCCTCTTCTCACAACTCTAGTGTCTGGTTTTTCTTAACACAATATTCACTGATTTTCTTAAACAGGTGAAGTACATGATTAATAGTTCCCTAGTTCTCTTGATTGCCTCCCTTTCAGAAAATATTCCTGGCAAAGAAGCCAAGTGCCAGTGGCTTATGCCTATTATCCTATCTACTCAGGAGGCTGAGATCCAGAGGATCATGGTTTGAAGCCAAACTGGACAGAAAAGTCCATCAGACTCCATATCCAATCCACCACCACCAACGGCCCCCCAAACAATAGCAAGAACTACAGAACAGCAAAAAAGCAGGAGTATAGAGGCATGGCTCAAGTGGTAGAGTGCCAGCCATGCAAGTAAGCTGACCAATTTCAAGGTCTTGAGTTCAAATCTTGAGTTTAAATAGTATACCCAAAAAGTGCCTCCTTGTCACCCTTCTGGGGAGGGCTGGGCAGCTGATACCTTCCTGCCCCCTCCAGGCAGGCAGCTCTGCCCTCAGTCCAGGTTCCCTACTTGCTTTCCAATCTTCCTCTTGTTTCTGGGTCCCTTCAGCTGCTCTTCCCTTGCTCCTGCCTTTGCTCTGTGAGGCTATAGTTCCTACAGCACAGCCCTGCTCTGGGCAGAGCTGTGCACAGGCTGTGGTGGAGCTTTGACTTGGAGTCTGCGGACAGAGGCTGCAGGTGTGCTGTGGTCTGGGGACATTGTCCATCTTCTTCTCTGGTCCTGTGTGTCTGCTCACAGAGCAGGGCCATCTCAGTCCCTGAAGTGCCCATGTGGCTTGAAGGGTGTGCAGGTCCCTCTTTTGCAGGTGCATGGCGTCTCCCCAAGGGCAAGGGCTTCGCCTACTTGCACCTGGAGAGTAGGTTGAGGATGTTGGTGCTGGGAGGCTTCAGAGCAGGCCGTCACCCTGAGATGACACCATGGACATTGGCTTTGGCTGGAGCCTTGCACTGTTAGGTTGAATGCCCTGAATCTGCCAGTGACACAGATTTGGTATCTGAATTAGGAGATGGAAGCAGGGTTAATTTCTCAGTGTAATTGGGTAAAGGGAAATAGCATGGGAATATTGTTGGTCTGTCCTGAGGCTCTGCCATCTACCCTGCCATTACAGAGGAAGGCCATTTGCCTTATTTTACCATGAGAGTATCATACAGACCCCTCCCCGCAGATGTCTCCTGACTGCCCGGGGCAGTTCCTTTAAAGGTTCTCATGAAGTGTGACACGCGCTGTGTATAGGGCTGCAATAGATTTATCCAGGCAGTGGATAAATGCAGTCAATAGTTTAATCTGCCCAGCTAAGGTAACAATGAAGACCTGAGGCTCAGGAGCCGGAATTCCTGGTTCAAATCCAGATGTTGGCAAGCCACTGGGTCCCTGGCTTCAGTTTGCTTTGTCTAGATGTCATGGTAGGGTGGAGTCAGGGCACACAGGGAAGCATGGTGCGGTAGATGATGTGATCTGTCTGTTGGTCCCCTGCGTTACATATAAACTGGTATGAGGGTGCAGAGGAAGGACTGCAGATGGGTTAGGCATACACTGGGAATGAGCATGTGGAAAATGGGAGGTAGCATGTAAGGACAGGGTGGCTCAAAGTGCTGGGGGCTGCAGGAAAGCCCATGGTGGGTGTCTGAGGCTGCTCAGGACAGGCGCTTGCTTCCATGGAAGCTCATCATTGTGGGTCATGTCCAGCAGACAAGGGGCAGGTGCAGTTCAAACGGGAGCTGTAGAGACGGAGCAGTCCCAGAAACCCCAGTCCCCTGCTTCAGCCTGCACCTGGGCATCTCTTACCTGGGTGCTCAGGTCCTATAGGTGACAGAGGAAAGCTAGCCTCGTATTCACATGCAGGGGAGGTGTGAATGCTGAGAAGCAGGGTGGCTGTTTTATCTCCTTTGTGCTCGGTGTCACCTTGGCAGCAAAACCTGCTTGTAAAACAGCCACCTGATGGCCATCTAGGTGATGGCTGGCATGCTACCCTGTGCAGAAGCTTAAAATGATGAACAGAAGCTGGAGGCCCACAAGCAGTGTCCCTGAAGTGTCCCCTGCCACTCGGCCTCAGGAGTGAAGCAGGAGTGAAGGTGTGCTTGTTTTGCCTGGTCCAGCCCTTGCGTGTAGACGTGCAGGAGTCACGGGAGGAGCTCAAAACCAGGAGGGCATGTCTTAGTCATCTGTGAATATCACACCTTGTGTCCTCAGAATAGACTTTAGCCCAAGGTGTGTCCTTCACTAGCCTTGCTGGGCCCTGGGAAGGACACCTGCATCCAGAGACACGTGCCCAGGTTGGCATGGAAGCAGATGGCATCAACAACAAGAGCTGGTGGTTATTACAAGTTCAGTGTGAACCAGATGCTGCCTCTGCTTTGTGCACAGTATTAGTTTGTTCTCATGGTTGTTCTTTAGAGGGGAACACTTGCTGCACATAGGCTTTGTGGGGTAGGTGCCTCAACCAGGGCACTGGAC